ACACCATTTTTCATCTCCGGTTATCTCTTGATATCCTCATTAAAACTTCCTTGAATGGCCTTTTGCAACTGACATCATGAAATGAAAAAGTGACAAATTTCCTAAAAGTTTCAAACGAGAGAAAGGTGTCGCGGTTCTAAATTATCTTAAATGGCCAGTTTAAACGATAATTACCCGTAACATAAATCAAAGTTTAAGAAGCCTTAAGAGTTGCCAATATTGAGATCACTATACCTTGTGAAAAAAAGTCAATTGTTTCTTTCATTTAGACTTAAAAGCGAGAACTCTGAAAGAAAAGTAGAATGTCTAAAATGGCTGCAGATACGGAGCAACAGCTGAAGAAACACACAGAGGAGTCTCCGATGTTGTTTTGAAGCCGACGTCGAAAGACAGGTGATCCTGAATATTTGGACAACACTAAAAAAAATGTTTTTCTAATTTCTTTTAATATAACGCATATTTGCTTCTTTGCAGAAGCGCCTGTTTTGGAACATAAGTTCACCTTTTCATCCTAGACTTTCAAACAAAGTATTTTAATAATAGATGAATATTAATATCTCACTGCGCCTAAAAGTGGAACGTTCGTGGTTTTCGACGACTAAGAATGCGTATATTCATGCTTGAAAGACACTTTCTGATGGTCTGTAAACTGGGAAGTGTGTGTGAGTAACTGTCTTCCCATAAATATAGATTTCCTGAGGAATTTCGAGAAGTAAGAGCTCGCAGTACGTTTCTATTCAGGTGGGGCTTGTTAGGTTAGCAAGTTACTAATAGAGCGCACTGTCAAAATCCTATCTGTTTTGACCTTCTGTGATGCTTTTACGTGTAAATTATTAATATTTAATAACATGATTTCTACTGGAATTTGGTGTACATAAGCACTTGTAAATTTTTCAAAGACCTCAAATTGCACTCGCCCTACAGGCTGATGCAATTATGTTATCTTTAAAAAATTTTACTCGTGCTAACCAACACCATATTGCACTCGAAACTTTCATAAAACTTTCTTATCGGGCCTTATTATGAAGAAAAGTTTTCCCCATGATAAATTTAAAAGTTCTGCGGTAAAGTAAAAATAATATTCCCTTTCCGTGCCACAACGGTGGTAGCTGAACAGATACCACTTTTGAATGTGCCTTTAAAAAAAGGCTTGATATGTGAATATTGCGAGACAGGGAGACTCAAATCGTCCGCTGATACATTAGAAAATAAAACTTGTCAACGGCACCGATGTCAAGGAAAATCTCAGTGAAATTAATTTTTATCTTAACTTTTTTCACAATTTTTATAGAACGTGTATTTGTGAAATTTCGTCTTTGACAATTTTTCCCTAATCAAGACTTTTAAATGCAGCCTGCAGCACAAACGATTGAGGCTTCTGACGACCGTATAACGTGGTTGCAAAATTTTCGCCAATCTTCAAAGGACCCGACGTCCTGCCTCAGAGGTTTCCAAATTTTTGCAAAACAAACAATCTTCTTTTTTAACCGCTAAGCTGTCATGTTATGCAAGATATCTCTGGATAAAATTTCTTTAGGAAAAAAATACTTTGGTCCGCTTGTATTTGGCGTGCGATGGCAGGATTTTCTGCGTTCATCTGACCCTTTTTCTTTTGAGGGAAACGCATCTGAGCTCCACTTTTACTCAAATGTCTGTGATTCGTACCCTGAGTACGGTTATACTGACAGCAATTTGGAGAACACATAGTTTCAACGAGAAATTCTCTTCCCATCGCAAGTATCGAAGCCATCAAAAGTAACGCAAGCGTCAACCACAACGCATAAAGGTCAGGAGGAAAAAAAGGATCCGTTCTTGTGTAGCAATTCGCGCGAGACTTTTTTCAATATCTTCTAGAGCAAGATGGGTTTGCGATTGACATATGGATCAATCAGTGGACTTTTGGTCAAGGGATTTTGGTTTGATACGACCGCGGCCAAAATTTGGAAAACGCGAAATTATTGCCAATATTTGACTTGTGAAAAATTGGATAATATGTTAATTTGCTCTAATGCAATTCGTCTCTGAGACTCCAAAATCAAGGGCGATTTTATGTATATTTGTGTTCTCCCGGATCACACGAGCAAGTTAATGAAGCAATCTTTCTTAAGTTTGCAAAATTAAAGGTCGCACTTATCTTACTCTGCTTGCTGACAGATTTTTTATTTAAACAAACAAAAAAACTCGAAATTAGGACAATATCGTTTGCAGACACTTACCAACTGTACCAAGCCATTGGATCAAGATACGAGCAGCCCACTATCATATAAATTACCTCACGTATGACACACAGGAAAAATCCTTTATCACAAACAAAACTAAAAACTCACTTAACTTTACAGTGTCAGACTCACTCCTAGCAGATGACTGCGGATCATTCGATCGCGCAGAAGCCATCATGTCCGCAATTTTCCATTTTCTCTTCCTGACATCTCTTGCAGCCAAATCTTACTCAGGTTAGATTGTCTTTATTCCCTATATAATATTCTAGTTTTTTTAGCAATAGTGGCTAAACCTGCTGAGTTATTAGCTTCAGAATTTTTCCAAGAATACCAGACATTTTGAGGCACAAGTCCTAGGGGTAAACGTGTTTCTTAGACAAAGAAGTTGATGATTTTTTATATTATTATTAT